TTTATTAAAATTCATTGTTGATTTTTATTTATATTAAAATTTAGATTTTAATTCATATCAATCAAGGCTTTATTAAAAAAAAAAAAAAAAAAGGCTGCTCAATCAAAAGTTTTTCCCAGACTTTTCTTCTTTTCCTATTCAAGGAGTCCATAGTCCACTGCTGTGTTCCTCGTCAAAGTTGAATTCAACTCTCAAATCAAATAAATATTAAAATAAAACTACAGAATCTTTGAAAATTCAACGCAAACAATAATCACTTTAACCTGTTTAATTTTTAATAAGGAACAGTTCTCCACGAGCTGTTGAAAATCAAGTCTTCTCTTCCTTTTCTTCCTCGCTTATTGCCATAGTCAAGACAAATTTTGACAATCGAACGTTTGATCCGTTCTCTATATATAGATTTTCTATTTGGGGTTAGGTTTCTTTCTCTACAAGAATCTTGTATCAAACCTACCTTTTCTTTCATGGGCTGTGTTCGAATTGTCCAATTGTTGTTCAAGAATCATCGTTGATGCTCCACGAGGTTGGTTTTTATCATTGGAGAATTATTGGCTTTTTGGTTCCTATACTTAATTTCTTGATGTTCAGAATTGATTGATTCTGTGGGAAAATTGAGCTGTTGAAATTTAAAATTTTCTTGGATTTTGGGGGTTTAAATTTCTTTTCAATCTTAGGGTCTGCTGGGGTCTGGATTTGGTTGTCAAGATTTTGGATAATTTAAGGGTTCTGAGGAAAAGATTTACATAGTTGATCTCAATTGGAAAGAAGATAATTCAAGAATTTTGATTGTTGTGAAGTGAAATATACAGATTATACTAAAGAGTTAAGTGATGGATGTAGCAAATGGCGGTTCTAATGCGCCCGCTCCTTTTCTGGTTAAGACATATGAGATGGTAGACGATCCTTTGACGAATCCTGTTGTTTCTTGGAGTCATACTGGGCATAGTTTCGTTGTGTGGAACCCTCCGGAGTTTGCTCGAGATTTGTTGCCTAAGTATTTCAAGCACAATAATTTCTCCAGCTTCATTAGGCAGCTCAATACATATGTAAGGCCTTTGCTTAGTGCAGTTTCTTAACCCCAAATTTTTATTTTTACTTTTTACTGTATTTTGTGTTGGTGTATATTTGTGTGTGGAAGGTTTGAGTTTCAAATGGAAAATGGTAGGACATAGTGTAGTCTGCTAAATTGATCACTACTTATTGAATTTTATGGATTTTGAATTGGCAAACCATGAATATTGAACAAAAATTAATGGTGCAGGATTGATTTTGTTAACTAATGTAGTCGAGGTTAGGATACATAGTTGAAGTATCAGTATGTGTAACTATTTATAATGTGATGGATAATGAATAGAGATGAAAGATATGGTGGATTAGCATTTTGTTCACTTCATATTTATTTTTGCTTTGTAGTCTAAATTTAAGTCTTAACTTGGTTCTTGTGAGATCATTTTGCTTAAATTTCCTTACCTTGTGTAGGGTTTTCGAAAGGTTGATCCTGATCAATGGGAGTTTGCAAATGAAGAATTTATTCGTGGACAGAGACATCTTTTAAAGAATATACACAGGCGCAAGCCAATACATAGCCATTCGGGTCAGGGGAATGCAGTTCCATTAACTGATGTAGAAAGAGAGGAGCTTGAAAAGGAGATTGACAAGCTAAAACACGAAAAGGTTTTGCTTGAGTCGGAGGTTGAGAGGCGTGCGCAGGAGAATCGGGGGTATGAATATGAAATTAGATCATTAGGGCAAAAGTTGCAAAATATTGATCACAGGCAGCGGCAGTTAATGACAACCTTGGCTCAGTTGTTGCAAAAACCTAGATATGTCTCTAATCTCATGGAGCATTTGGAGTCGAATAACAAAAAGAGAAGGTTATTGGCTTTGAATTATTTGCACGATGAAGCCACCCGAGGAGATAGCCAAATCATGACTTTCCAAGCAGAGAATCCAAGTACTTCATCTCTTCCATCATTGAACTCAGAATTAGTTGACCAGTTGGATTCCTCCCTAAATTTTTGGGAGAAGTTTGTCCATGAGATCAATCAAATTCCATCTGAAGATTTTCATGATTTCAGTGTGCTCCCCCAGCCTTCACCAGTCACTATTACAGAAATGCCTGTATCATCTGGAGACTCGGATTTAATTTGCCAAACTTGCTCGCCTAAGTGTCATATAACCTCGTCTCCTTCGAGAGATCTTCATTCTTCCCCCGAGCTGGCTGCATGTTCTACTTGTGTTGACAGCCTTGCAATATCATCCATTTGCATTGCACCGTCGGGAATTGATGTGAATATGAGCCCAACTAATGTTCATGATATTGATATTTCAAAAGACCTAAAACCAGATGTAACGGTTCCCTCTGTGTCAGCTGGGCCTAATGATGTCTTTTGGCAACAGTTTCTTGTGGAGGCACCCGGTTCTGGAACTCAGGAGGTACATTCAGAAAGAAGAGATTTAGACGATACGCGAGATCCTAGTGAGTCGTTAGATGCACGCAGAACTTGGTGGAATGTAGAGAAGCTTACCCCACAGATGGGACATTTTGCTTGAGTTGAGAGGACATCTCAATGGCTGGCCAGAGGTAGTTACCGCCATTTGAAGGTTCTGATATATAAGAATGTCATAATGTTATATATTAGATGGACACCATTTTGGTCTTGAATTCACTTATATTTGCTAGTTTTCTTGTACTTTTTCTTTTGTATCTATATGATTGCAGATTACAGGTTTTGTTGAGTTATGTAGCCAGAATATTGACCGCACCTCTGGTTTTCTCTTTGTTTATGTAAATTCTACTTCTTATATGATGCTGCTAATTTTTCTTGCTGTTCTTTTAAGCCTCCATTTGGAAAGAAATTTATAAATGGTTTATAAATTCAGTCAAAGTCTATTTCAATCTGACATTCATAAATATTGCTCATTATTATACACATTTTTTTTTATAAATTTGCCAAATGGAGGCTAAGTAAATGGTCAAGCATAAGCATTTTTCTTGCATCCATCTTCCACAAGCCAATGCTTCTGAAAAGAAAACACCGAGTTCCTCAAAAGTAATTGAGGTTCTGTTAGTGTGACCATTTAGAATTGCAGTAAGGAAAAATGAGAGAAAAACGCATCTCTTTCTGGGCCTTGTGGGACGTGAAGGGCATAATAGAAGATTGCCCTCCTGGTAAGGAGCAGCGGAAAAGGTGCTGTCATCTATCTCAACGAGTTTCCCGAGGCATTGGAACTCCAGGCCAGCGGGTGCTATATCAGCTAATTTACTCCGTTTGCACCACTTTCTTGTGGGATTCTCTCTCTCTCTCTCTCTCTCTGTATATGTCATACCTCATCCCCTTCATGTATGATGCTGAGACTGCCTGCAGGTTGCAGTTTTCGGCGTCTTTGTGGCAAACCTTTTGGTGTCCTATATTATTCTTTCACAAGCATCTAATTGTGCAGAAGTAGCTATTGCAATCCTTCATCTGTTTTTACTCTTCTGAGAGAGAGGGGAACTGAGAAGAGAGTGTTTGGAAATTTTCACCACCGGGATTTGGAGAAGAAACAAAATATAAAATAATCAAGAAGATAAAAGTAAGAAGAAAATCATAATGAATATGAAGGCTCAAATACGACGTTACATCGTTGTTTTCAAACGATATTTTCCCCCTCTTGAATACAAATTTTGGTGCTTAAAGTGTCTCACGGCAATGATTTGAAGGATTGATCTTTTGTAGAGAATTAATAGTTAAACACTTCTATGAATTCTCCAAAACTTGAAGAACACAAAAGGAATATTGAATATAGATGAGAAGACTTTGATTCTTCTTTGTGGAATGAAGATTATGATTACAAATGTCATCAAGTGTTTTTCTTAATGTTAGAATGATCATTAACCACCTATTTATAGCCATGAAACATTGCTATACGAAGTGGTGCCAAAGTATTAGTGAAAGACCGCCAAATTTGAATCAAAAACCGCCTCCAACACTACCATGCGACCGCATGGTATATTCCCATGTGGTAATATAGTTTATACAAAGCCCGGCTTCCATGTTTCGGTTAATGGCCATCGACCGCACAGCTTTCACATAGGCCAAAGAATTGGCTCCCATCTCATCTTTCTTTCCACACTCGTGTTTATTGATTTATCGAACAACATTTTCTATCAATCCCCCACTTGTTCAAAATTCAATAAACTCTCATATTCAAAATATACAATACTCATGCTTAAGGATTATATCTTTTGATTTGAATCTAACCATAGTGTAATCCAAACAAAATAAAGTTGGAATCAAAGAGCGTGAAGTTTTGAGCCAGTTATTCCATGTGACAATACTGGTAAGGACACACACACACACACACACGAGCATTACGTGTTTTCAAGTTCCTTAATCTCACTTAGTGCTAATATGACATTGCGCTTATCATTTTTAACAAACTTTTAAGAGAAAAACTCCAACTTTCTATCGAGGGCACCACCTCGAAGTTCGTTTAGATAAAGTTCTTTCAGCACCTTTGTTACTTTTAGAGGTACTTTTATTTTTTGCATTGAACTTTATTAAGAGTTTAAAACTCAACCTCACTTTAGTAACAACCAACATTATTTTAATTATCGCGAATTTATATAATGTTGAAACTATCCACATATCAAAGGACTTGTTGTTACCCTTTGAATCCATGGATTACCTTTTGAGTAATGACAAGTAGGATTGCCGTCATTGGTGGACCTTTTTAGGTTAGGAGTTTTAACTCATCCTACTCAAAGTAGAAGCCTCTAAATTTCTATTTATAGGTTTTAGTTTAAAGCATCCGCTAAATTCTCTACGAAAATTATTTCATTTTTGATAATTTCCTTTGCAATGTTTTGTCTAAGACTCATATGTCTAGACTTTTATTATTTGTGACTTAAGTATCTTATCAAATATAGCTAGTCAACGATCGATTCATTCGATATATACAACTTGTCACCGTTAAGAAAATCTTTTATTTCTCACTCGCTTTATTTAAAGTTTTATTTATATCCAAACATGGTTGGAAGATTTCTATCAATCATTGTACTAGTTAATCACTTTTGCTAGTGGATTTCATATATGGGTATTTGATTCACATCATCGATTTATTTCAATGATCTTTAAATATTGCCATTGGTTCCATGATCAACCATTTCATCCACTTAGGCTTGGTGTATTTATCTTTGTAAAGGATTTTCTATATTTTCTCTTTCATAGATATTTTTCTATGATTAGAAGGTAATAGTAACCTTTTAAAATAAGTTACCCCCACAATTCTTTAATTAGAAATACATATGCAATTTAGAAATATTGCATCCCTGTCTTTTGAACTTCTCATGCAAATTCACAAGCATTTAATGTTAACCACCACACTTCGGGTTATATTCGAACGTAGAGTTCATCAATATGTTAACCCTCGCTTTTGGGATTATACTTGAACTGAGAGTTTATTAACTCTTTTATAGTTCAATTCACTTATCACTTAGAAAATATTCGTGAAAGTTTAGATATTATCAAATAGTAGTCGTTAGGTCACTATGTGCTTCAAACTTACTACTTTAATTTTTTTATCATACAATTTGATCAAGGTCATCTCATAGACCGACTATACTTTTCCAAGCTTAAACCAAATTCAATTGGTTTCACGATTATAGTCAAATTCAACAACTAATAAGACTGAGCTTCTTGATCTACAAAATTGCGATTTATCACTTTCACAAGACAGCATTATATCACACTGAATAACAAGATACATATTCACTTTATTTTCCATAGATGAAAATAGGCACCATTTAATGGTTTTTGAATTGAAAAGATACAAATCTCTATTGGCATCCGTTCCCAAATAAACCGACAACCAAAATGGTTGCAAAATAGCAACTGTTTTCATGCCAATCAACAATTCAAAATTCTTGGCCTTTCTTACACCAAATAAATGGATACAATGGGATCACATTGTTTTGGTACCAAATTTAAGAAACCAGAATTCAGCAATTTAAATTTGAATGCAAACTTAAATTTCGTACATACTCCAATGCAATTAGAATGAAAATTACTTGTGGAATTTGCCAAAATATGCAAAATTCTGAAATAATATATTATAAGCACCTGGGAACAGTCACCATGCCAAATAAATCCATTTGCCACCATAATTGATTTAAGTTGCATTTAAAATGAAAAGTCATTATTTAATAAAACTGCCATATGCACTTGTTTAAAAATAAACCAACTTCCATTCAATTTGATTAACAATTACAGCCACATAATAATTCACTTTAAAATAATTTGCCATCAAAATTGTGCACATTTAACCATATGGAAGGACGTCAAAATATGCACTCTCAAGTGAGCACAAGCGAGTAATATATTTCCAAATATTCTCCAACCAAAGGAACATACAACTTCCTCACATGCACTTTACTCAAAATAGAATAAACACTTATATACACCAATTAGTGAATATCATATAAAATGATGAAATATTATCATATTCAAATATCTCATACAATTTTTTTTAGCATGTCTTTCATACTCAACATGCAGTAAATTTAGCGAAGTAGATCATAGATCACATAAATCTTTCAATGTTATGTTGATACCCAACCAACACATAATAATTTTTCATTAGCCTCTATTATCCCCATAAATTGCATATAAGACCAAATTCCATAAATAAAGCATATTCTAAGAATCATACATGCTGTAATTCATCAAATATATCAGACAAGAAATTTATATAACTATGCAATTCATAATTGACACAATATTTTGCATCCTTTATCTAATAGGAAATTCTAGATGATCATGAAAAATTCATTAGGGATATCTTCATTGATAACATGCATATATTTTCACAAAACATCTAAATTGCATGTGAGAAGATCATTATATCGACTTATCTAAGTGGAATTTTAGAAGATAAATGAATATCACCGGAATTGAATTCATTTCTTCGATGAAATAATTTCTTTTCAACCTTTCCAGATCTCTTTCGCCAAATAATTGTTGATTTCGGTAGCGTCGCCAAATCTGAAATTAGAATGTAGGAGTTCTTCAATTCCATCAACAAAAACTTCAATTTGTACTATCCTTCACAAGAAGTTCGCCCATCAAATATGCCAACCAGGATCTGGATTTCATTAACTTATCTTGCCAAAGTGATTTCGTTCTCCATCGCACAAAATATTATTTAAGATTGTTGGAAAATTTTCCTCATCGGGGTTTGGAGAAGAAATAAAATATAAAATAATCAAGTAGATTAAAATAAGGAGAAAATCATAATGAATATGAAGGCTCAAAAACATCGTTGTCCTCAAACAATATTTGCTCCATCTCGAATATAAATTTTGGTGCTTAAAGGGTCTCACGACAAATGATTTAAAGGATTGATCAAGCCTTGTAGAGAATTAATACTAAACACTTGTAAAAATTCTCCAAAACTTGAAGAACGCAAAGGAAATACTGAATATGGATGAGAAGACTTTGATTTCTTCTTTGTGGAATGAAGATTATGATCACAAATATTATCAAGTGTTTTTCTTAATGTTAGAATGATCATCACCTATTTATAGCCATGAAACATTGCTATATGAAGTGGTGCCAAAGTATTAGTGAAAGGCTGCTAAATTTGAATAAAAAATCGCCTCTAACACTACCATGCAACAACATGTTGTATTCCCATGCGGTCGCATGGTTTATACAAAGCCCGACCTCCATGTTTCGGTTAATGGCCATGCGACCACATGGCTACCGCATAGGGCAAAGAATTGGCTCCCATCTCCGCTTTCTTTCCACACTCATGTTTATTGATTTATTGAACAACATTTTCTATCAGAGAGAAGCTTGGTTGCATTCTTTGAAAGCTCTCGATATCAAGCCATAACACTTTATTTTGTAGTGAACTGAGGCCGTTCCAGATGCTAGAGGTAGAATAACATATAGTAAATTCAACCGAGGAAAAAATTGTGTGTCCTTGGAACCATGGTAAGAGTCGAGTTTTCTTTGATGTGTTCATCGCTTTCCTTAAGACTGAAGTTGTTCTTGTTGTTATATTTAATCGGTAGTGTATGGAGTGGAATCAGGTTCTTATATACCGTATTTGTGTTTTAGACACCGAATTCACACTTACCATATTTGGCAATTGCTTATCGTATTTGGCAGCTGCTTACAGTAGTTGTTTACTACTCACCGTATTTGACAGTGTAACTCACCGTATTTGACAAGCAGTCACCGTATATGACAGTGACCGTATTTGGTAGAGAATTAAACATAGAATTTCCACAACTATTTGTTTTCATACAATGACTTCAGATAACATAGAATTAGGTGTTTGTTTTCATATAATTTGCACAAACACAATTTCAAAATAAATTCAGATAAATTTTTTCTTAATTATTTTTTCACAAATTACTTAGATACAGACTACTATCTAAATCACTATTTGAATAAGAATGACAAATTATATTATTTGCAGAAACATAAAAGTAGTATAAATTTCAGAAAGTTAAATGAAATCTGAAAGCGTGTAGATTTGCAAATAATTAAAGCGCAGATACTCAAACTGAAAGCATATATATTTGGAAATAAACTTTTAACCTCGAGACATGTGTAAACACAGTTTTCTTAAGACAAATTCGTCCCCTCACCGTAGTGCTAGAGATTTAGTTCGAGCGCCTATCTCCCAGGATACAACGGTAACCAGTAGAATCCGAGCATCGCAATTCTACTTCGACGAACTAGGCAAGTGTTTGAACAATATTACTTTACTGGAATGGACATAGGAGGAAACGAAACAAAATAGAAAATAGAACTGTACGAAGCAGACGAAAATTGCAGTGTATAAATTGCTGAAAATTGAGTGAAATTATACAGACTGAATTTGATCATTAGTTTCCGCATTAACCATTGCAGTTTTAGGAATTTCAGACACTCAAAAGTCATTTGGAAAAATCACAAAAAACGTGAACAATCCAAACTGGCCAGTTTTTGCTATCTCAGTCCGCAGGTCGCGCCCGTACGCAAATTCAAGGTCCGAAGGCTATTTCTATCCATGATTTGCACTCCCTGCGCGAGCACGTGGAGAGAGCCTCTATGTTACACATGATCATACCATTTCAATGCATAGTCATATATAAAGTGGTTTTGATTTCCATATTTTTTCTATGTGGGACAAAGTTAATTATAGTTTTCCCACCAACCTAGACCATTTCCAATGGTCCACTTTAAACTCTAGTTTCTCATTCACCCGAACTTCATTTTTGGCAAATAAATACATGACTTCAATGTTCTCGCGGAGGAGAACACATATCAACTTTGATATTTCAAGTTGGACCAACGAGTCCCACCAAAAATTGTACCAAAAGTGAGCGTTCACTCATTTTTTTCCAACAATTCTACCGCTAAAAAGTAAATTATTCTTTACCAGCTTCATTTTGTAGATTTTGGCTCGGGTATTTGAGACTTGAATAATTACTAGCTTAATACAAGGACACTGAAACAAAATACACGATCATACATGTGGTCTCAAAAAGTATGAAGATGGCATTTCATCTTTGTTTCTCAATTTATTGATAGGTAAAGTTATAAGTTTATTAGCTCAAAATTAGGCTACATGTCCCTCTCCGTCTTATTTTTCTTTTTTCAAAGATGATTATTATGTCACTTTAGTGATGATTTAATTTTAAATGCTGTGAAAACAAAAACATTTTCTAAATCAACATATGTTACTTTGAGAATGAAAAATCAGTGCCTGGCTCCCTAATTCATCAAGTGATGTGGTTATGGATCATCAACATTTGAGAGTATAGTTTTAAATTTATACCACGGAAGCTCTCAACATGAACATTAAAATTATACACAACTTTTACTTGACTTAAGGTTAGAGATCAAACCGTGAAATCATTTAAAATTATATTGTTCCGACTTGAAGTCTTATTTGTGACCTGACCCTAATTTTCATATTTACATGCTTGTTTAATAAAACTTTTGTTTATTAAAAAACTGATCAAACTATGTGCTTATTTGGTAGGAATTTTGATAATTGATTTTTTGACCGTTAGAGATAAAGTGAGTCTTACGAGAGAAAAATTCAAAAATAACAGTTGGAATAGTAAAATAACGGTCAAAAAATTGATTTTAATTGGTTTTTAAACTGTACTAAACAAGCTCAATATTTTAACTATACATTTTGTTGGATTTACACTTTTATATACTTTTCAACATATATTTAGAGCCTGTTTGACAATCATTATTGTAGAAAAGTAGTTTTGAATATTGATTTTTAGGAATGTGTGTGATTAAAATATTGAAAAATTTTTTTGGTATACATGTGAAATTTTTATTGTATAAATATATGATCAAATATGATCATATAGCAAATCATAAAATAAATTGCACTTCATCAAAATATACCAACTTTTATCAATTTTACTGATGCTGTGAACACAGTAAGCAGTAATTTCTTATTTATGGTGTAAACGTTGTTTAGTGTTCCTTGACCTTGAATTAAATAATTCGTTACCAAAATTGTCAACAGCCTAACCGACGACAGAAATTTCTCAGAGACCAAACATAACCTTCCTTGTTACACCCATTATGAAGAAAATACAGATCCGATCAAATCGTAAATCACATAAACTCGTCGATCAGAGAGAGAAAAAGAAAAAAAAAAAAAAACCAGGTCATATTTTCTGTTAATTTCTTCAAATCTATCAATTAATTCGGGTATGTTTCTGCAGATTTTTTGATTCATAGTTACTTCTTCTTGCCAGTGTCAGTTCCCCTCCTCTTTCTTTGCTGACAAATGTTTGACTTTATGTTATATTCTGTACTGTATTTGAAAAATAGTATCTTTTATAGTTCTGGATCACGCACATTTGTTATCAGATTTGCGTTCTGGGTTTTTACTAATTGAATCTTAGATTTTGGGCTTTCTTTTGTTGAAAAATCTGATTAAACTCTTTCTGTATCGATTAGCTTTCTGGGTTTTCTTTTGTCTGAAACATCTGATTTAACTTTTTGGTGTTTCCTGTATTGATTTAGGTTGCAAGACTGGAACTTTTGAAATATACGACTCAGATTAAATTTTTCGTTTTGTTTTCAGGTTTAATACTTAAACTTAATTAATTCTGAGCTCAGAGAAGTTTGCATTATTTGCTGTTTCACCACATCAAGAGAAAATATTATGTGGCTCCAGCAATTATGTGGTTTAGATTTTAGGATTTCAATGGCCTGAACTGGATTTGATGATACCAAAGGCAATGATAGAGTTTGGTTCGAATACTGAAAAAGTTGAAGAAAGTGAAAGTGACAATTTGACTAGTGAAGATAAAAGGTCATTGATTAGGCGGGATCCCTCATTCTCGGGCTGGAGTGAAGAGGATGGGAACATCCAGTTATCTCTATCAGAAAATGAGGATGTAAATTCTGAGGAATTCAATTTTGAACAGAATTTGGTACAACGGAGTGGGTTGGAAAATGCATATTTAGGGGGAGAGAGACACCATTCAAGCAAGCTCCAGTTAGGGATGGATCGTAGTAGTGATGTGGACGATGCATCCACTAATGATTTGAGAAATGGGAACAAGAATTATGAGCCCTTTGATATTGAAAATAGAGTAAAAAATGATCACAGATATTCTAGTACTGGGGCAAATGGCTCTGGTTACATGGATTACCGTGGTACATCGAGGTCAAATTCGAAGAACTCTATTTCTGTTGCTGATCTTCTGCAAACTTTGTTTTTTATACTCATGTGGTACACATTCAGTACATTCTTGACACTGTAAGTTCTTCCTGTGCTTAATCAAAATATTAGATAGATGTTTTTGTCCTATATTATCATACGCATTGGTACTTTAAGATGATGTTATTTATTTATCTTTTTCCAATGGAGCAGGTATAATAAAACTCTATTAGGGGATCATCTAGGGAAATTCCCTGCTCCCTTACTGATGAATACTATACACTTTACAATGCAAGCTGTTTTGTCAAAGGCCATTACTTGGTTTTGGTCTGAAAGATTTCAATCCTCTGACATGTCATGGAGGGATTACTTTATGAGAGGTAACAGGAAAATCACTCCCTTTACAATTATTGATCCATATTTGGATTCTTTAGAGCCAGCATACGATGTTTCTCATATCCCTTAATTAGCGTTAAATAAAGTAATTATGTTAATGATTTCTGTACTGTGACTGTCCCTTCATACAATGGCTTTCATAGGTTTTATTTTCTGAAAGCCTTTGTGACTGAGTGTTTTCAGTCCTTTTCTCTTTTAAGAAAATGCAAGATAAATTAAGTCAAAAATCAAAAATAATTTTTTGAACTGATTGCTTGGTCACTGCTTGATGTTGATTCATCTTTCCATAAGGTCTCGAAGTATTGCACGTTTGCGTGAAAGTGATGTTTTCTTTGAGCATAGCGAACGCTGAACCTCAAATTAATGTCTGAGCAGTGCCCAAATGAGTTCTCTCAGCATATTTTAGTGTGATTCTATATAGTTTTAAGGAATATAATGCCCCCATATACCTTATGGTTTCTAAGTTTCTATTTCTCACTATAGGCTTCACATTAATTAGGTACAAAGTACTTGATGGGTTATTGCTTCATTGATTCGCTCCATGTGCATGCATATCAATACATCATATGAGCAACTTCATTTTCATCTTTGTCCTCCTGAAGAAGAGCAACTTAAATGGGAAACTGCAGTGGACGAGTATTTTTAACTGTTTGTTTTACGCAATAGATCATGGGCAGTTTGATGCTTTTGTAGAATTCTTAAGCAAACTTAGTAGGACCTTTGTTTATCTTCCGATCTACTTTGTAACATACATGTTAATAGTTTCCACTTAATTTAATTTAGAGATTTAAAAACTTATTCATTTAACGTATGGGAACTTGGCTTCATTTTTGAGTCAAACTGGAGCTAAAATTTGGCTTTACATTAGTTATATGATTTTAAATTTATTTTTATTTTTTTGTGGTGGAAATTTTTCCTTCAATGGCTCTAGATTGTTTATTTTGCTGCATCTACTTATGTTTGCTTAATGTTGATGATGTTGAAAAAGTATACAACACTTAAAAAAACTATTTTTTCTTGTTATTTACTTATGTGTTCCCTCTCAGTAAAAAATGATCCACCCATTACTTTTTAGGCTCTGTTATTTGTATTGACTATTGAGCACTATATATGCTGATAATATTTAGAGTGCTTCTAGAGTGTGTGAGGCCTTACTTTCTAACTGATGTAAGAGGCATGAGTTAGATTCGTGCATCTAATACTTCATCTAGGCCCTATATGTGTTTCACATAAGAATTTGAGAATTTCAAATTGCAAGTATTGGATTTATCTCAGCTTTTAGACTGTTAGAATTGAATTTATATCCTCGCTTTTTCTTAATTAGACTTTCCTATTATCATTAACTTCTCTAACAACTAATGCTACAGATGGCCTTTGCCTTTCACAGTTGTACCGACGGCCCTCGGCACTGCAATGGATGTTAATCTGAGCAATGCATCCCTTGTTTTCATCTCTGTTACATTCGCCACTATGGTCGGTCATCTTTCCTCACCATCTTTTACCACAATAATCACTGTTTGATTAAGTCGCTTCAAGTTGGAACTGGACAATGGTGTCTAGGCCTTGAATCTGTGTGGTCTTGATTCAACTTTCTTCATGTATGTATCACGTAGGGAATTGATAAACCAGCATGTCTAAGACAATATATATAAACTTCTAGTCTGAAGAGACTTACGAGAGCTAAGAAACATAATGTTTTACTGAGAATTAAAAGTTGTCACAGAGATTATGCAACAGTATTTATAGCAAGTCATACGATGTGTACGTTCCAGCTGGCAAAAAGACAATCATGTTCTAAATGAACCAAGTCACGTTTACATGTCTTAATTCGTAAGACTAAAACTGTACAAATGCCTTGCAGATTTAAAAAAAAAAAAAAAAAAAAAAAAAAAAAAAAAAAAAAAAAAAGAAAAGAAAAGAAAAGAAAAGAAGAAGACCCTACCACTGCACATGCTGAATCACTAATAAAACCAAAGTAAATTGTATCTGTATGCTTGGCTCATTTTTGATTGCCCATTGCGTATTAGGCTTATTCATACACTTACCACAATTAGTTCATAGTCATCTCTATATATTTCAAGTGAGTTGCAAGACTCTGGGCCCATTTGATTTAAGAGCTTATACAATGTTGTCGGTCTTAATATTTAAAGCAACTGATGATCTATTGTAGGGTATCTTTTCCCTTGTATCTATAAAATGTCTTTAGTAGCATATTATTTTTCTTAGCCGTTATCTTGCTATGGCAGTGTAAATCAGCAGCACCAGTATTTCTTCTTATTTTTGCCTTCGCATTCAGGTATTTCTCTAAAAATTGACCTAATTGGATTACTTTAGTAACTCCCAAGTATATGGGTTAAGATCATTTTTGTTGGAACTCAAACAGATCTTTTTATCTTTCTTTTCATATTGTTTTTGTGTGATGTGAAAGACCAATTTGTCATGCAATATGTAGATTATTTTAAATTTGATAAAATGCTACATCAAAATGATTTCTTGTTTCAATGTTTTACTAGTAATTCTCCTGTAGAAGTACAATCTCGATGGACTAGATTACACAATAACACAATATGGTAGTTGTTTAGTCAGTTTGCTGGAATATTTCCAGAAGACCATGGTTCCTGAACCATGAACTAATGAAAAGAAAAACTGGACATGAGTAAAATGTGTCACAAGTCCTGCTACATGTTCCCATGAACTTGGCTCTTGATATATGCTTCTCATTTAGATGTTTTATTGTGTTGGATGATAATATTACATGACCTAAACTACACGAACAACTTATTGTTATGGATTAATAATTATATGCAAGAAAACTTGTCCACACCAATAATATCTAGGAAAACTGAAACTTCTAATAGTCAACAAGTCCTGCTACATGTTATCACAAATACACCATTAACTTGGCTCTTGATACATGCTTCTCATTTAGATGTTTCATTGTGTTGGGTGATAATATTACATGACCTAAACTACACAAACAACTTTAATGAATTAATAATTATATGCAAGAAAACTTGTCCACACCAATAATATTTAGGAAAACTGAAACTTCTAATAGTCACCAATTCCCCATGAAGATGAATGTTGTCTCTTAAAGCGAGTACGCTTTCTTATAACAAAGTTTGACTGGCCAGATCTTTTAGTGGTCTGCATCACCAGATGCCAAGTATAACATAACTGATAAAAAATTGTGATTCAAGGAGGAAGGTTTAGTCGGACAAGGATGTGCAAAGTTAGGACTAAATATATACCTGAAATGGTAGGCATGGCACCTGCAGGAGATTGGATAAGAAAAATTCCATATTGTATGAAGATCTTTGAGTCTCTGGAAGTAGTGGGGAGAAAGAGCGATGTAGCATATATAGTTTGCTTTTAGAAGTAAACAAAGATGAATGCTTGCAGTTTAAGAAATAGCTAAGACCAAGATGGCTGGCTCCATAATTTATACGAAGATGGTTGCAATGATTTAGTTAGAATGCTTCTTAGTCAACTTTTGGAATTCCAAATTACTGTACTTTTTTCTGTTACCCTTGCATATGAAACGTGACAATTTTCTGGTAGTTGTACTATAGTTTTTTTTTTTTTTTTTTTGGGATATATACATTCCATGCATCTTCTATTGTTTCTGAGTTAATATGGCTTTTAACCTAAAATACCTTTTATGAAGACTGGAGTCTCCAAGTGTTAAGCTGCTTGGTATCATGTTAGTCATCTCTGTTGGAATATTATTGACAGGTATGATACTGCATCATATGTTGGGTTTTGTTATATACAATTTAATGCAATGCTACTGATCATATAGCTATTATAGGGGAGATTTGAGTCAATCATGAAGAGTTTTTATATGTATAATTGGAGAATTGCGTGTTTTCTTTTGTAATTCAAAGTTTTATTAATATGGGGAATTTGTTGCGATTCCTCAATTTACCTTTTTTGTTTACTGGGATGCATCTCACTGTGTCAATTAGTAAAGGACAGTGATAAGTTTGACAAGTTCACAATCTTATTGTTGTTATTTCTCTCTCCCTCTTGCTCTCTCTCTGTCTAGTTGCTTGATGGAAGATGTTATCTGTCAGAAGCTGGATTTGACATCTTGCAATAATTGATTCTATGACATGATTCACATATTTTCCATGTACATTTGCAAATTAAGACTACCTTGAATACTTTTACAAGTAGGAAGTTTATGAATTTTATCATTACATGCAATATTGGTATACCTAAACAGAACAAAGTACCTAATTTTTCTTCCATGGCCAACAGAAGTCGTCTTATTTTAATCTTCAAGGCTTTACTATTCAAATGACTAAGGTAGTTGATTTCCTTGATTACTTATTTTTCTGTTTTTACTTTATATTTTTCTTCTGTCTTAATTGCGATAAACGTTTATGATTGTGCCAAAAATTCTAAAATTATTTTATTCCTGTTTCAGATGCTTTTAATCATGTCTTTGCTTTACCTATGACCTGTTTTATACATAATTCAGTTGCAAAGGGGACGGAATTTGAGTTTTGGGGTTTTATCTTCGTTATGCTTGCTGCTGTTATGTCTGGTTTTCGCTGGACAATGACCCAGATCCTTCTTCAGGTGAGACCAGATGCTCATATCTGTACTGGTTTTTGAACATGTTTTGCTCTTACTATTATTTTCGATTCTCATGTTACATGTGCTCACAATAATTTTTGTGGTCTTGGACCTTTGTTCATCAATTGATTTGTGCTGATCTCTAAACTGGAATGAAGAAAGAAGTATATGGTAAGCTTCAGAGGTATCCCCTCTTTTAATGTAAAAGTTATACTAAACGATACTGCTATTAAATTGTTTGTATTTGCATCTATATATTCAGCATAAGCTTGTTTGCTGAATAAAGTTCAGTTTTAATATATTTAGTTCAGTAATAATTTCTTTTTCCAATTCTAGTTTTTCTAGTTTTCACCACAAATCTATCTTAAAACTTAGCCTGTGTTTGTCTTCCATTAAAATGAGTTTTTTTGGGGGAAAATATTTATTTTATTTTATTTATTTTGGAATAATGTGTTGTTAATAAGTGGAAAAAGTTTTGAGTTCACGTGCAAAATATTTTATTATGTGAATGTGTAGTTGAAAATGAGTTTGAGAAAAAAGAGTTTTGATTTAACGGAAGACAAGCAGGGGCCTCTTCTCATCTCAACCACACTTAAATTTGTTAAATAGCCATAAATTTAATTCCCCATGGTATTTCCCTTTTTTTTTTAATTTTTATTTATTTATCTTTTCTTTTTTTTTGCCCCCCATAGACTTTAATCCCGCAAAATTCTCGATCAAGTAATAGCTTAGGAACAGGCCCTGTTAATTCAAATAGAATTAATCCCGAGCTGCATTATCTCAAATTTCTCCTCCCCTCCATGAAGTATAATGCCTATGTAGTAAAATTTTTTGCACATAGGTATTTTATGATCTCCAATATTTACTGCCTCTCTGCATGTACTTGCACCTTTATTAGAATTATACTCCACACAGGGCACCTTTACTAGTATTTAAAAGGTGACATAGCATTTTGATATTTCCCTTTTATTCGTAGATGTCCTTGCTTAGCTCTGATAATGATTCCTCAAATGTCCTTGCTCAATCTATATATAATTAAAGCAAATGGATATTGACTTAAAGCTGAACATTTATGCAACTTTCACAGTAGGCAGATACTTGGTTTTCTGGCATGTATCCTCAGTGCAGTCATGGCACCCAGTATATGTTCTTTTTTATTTTTATTTCTATTTTTTTTTTCCAACATATACTTACATATTAACTTTAGACCTCGTGAAGGTAAATATCAAAATGCTATGTCACCTTTTAAATACATCCATAAAAATTAAGAGGAATATCAGCATATGCTTTTTGTCGGAAGATGGATTATTAGATTGTATTTATGTATGTTTCACTCTGATCCTAAGGGGGTTAATCAGATTTTCTAATGTTTTAGTAATGGTGAATGGGATAATGGGCTATTTGTAGAGTGGGTCAATCAAAATCTTTAATGTTTTGTTTGTCCACTCCTAAAGCGAAATTATTAAGTCTGGAGAATTAGGGTCTACGCATACCTCACAAGCCTTGAGGTATGTGCCTCACTTAGCTTAGATGTGTGCTTCCAGAGACTCCACAAGCAGCATCCTGAAGCGTTTTTTGTTCGCTCCCTATGTAGTGCACCTTAGTCGGGATATTTTAAACAGTGCCTATATTTCTATATTGCCTTGTTTTGATGTGGTTATATGTGGACCAAAGAGCTTAATTAAGAGTTTATATTACAGAACCAGTATTTTATCTATTGGACCTCATTGGATTGCTTATATCCGACCTACTTGGACATGTCGTTATTTTATGATTTTTTATTTTTATTTTTTCTCTGTGTGTGTTTCCAGGTCTCAAAAATCCACTCACTTTAATGAGCTATGTGACCCCAATAATGGCGATTTCAACTGCTCTACTTTCTCTTATATTGGATCCATGGCATGAATTCAGAGCAAGCGATTATTTTGACAGCTCACGGCATATCGCAAGAAGTTGTTTGCTGATGTTGTTTGGTGGAACTTTGGCTTTCTTCATGGTAGGAGTCTAAATTCTCATGTTTATGTGATGAAGTTCCATTTTATATGGAAACAAAATGGGATATTGCAATAAACCATCAGATATCATGAAATTTCAAAGCATTTTCTGCTTTCCAGTTTTCTATTCTCAATGTGTTTTTCTTCTTTGAAAAGCGCATTTGATGGGCAATAAATAAATACTTTTTCCCGCTAAATTATCTCTGATTTCTCCCCTTTCTCTTATTGCAGGTATTAACGGAATACATTCTAGTATCAGTAACTAGTGCAGTAACAGTAACAATAGCTGGGGTTGTCAAGGAGGCTGTCACTATCTTGGTCTAATAGCAATTTTTTTAGCTTACTTTTCCCTGAATTTTATAAATATACTATATTGTGCTTATAATTGTTAGTTCAAGACTTTGTTCTTACCTTCAACGTATTAAATTTCACATCTGTTTTGCATTAGCAGTAGGTAACACTGAGTTGCCCATTCACAAGAGTCCTCTTGATGGATTTTAGTAGATAATTGATATTCACCTTCACCATTTTCCAGTCCATGTTTTATTGAATCAGTTGTAGACTTGCACTTAATTAGTATGTTTAACCACTCGCTACGTTCACAATTGAATGATTTCCTCACTTTTAAATGGCCATAGAAATGACTTTCTTCCAGAAATTGTATTCTGTCGAAAGAAATTATTTTCATCAGTTTTCTGAATAAAGACGACAAGTTACTTCAAATTTCAAATCAACTTTGGAACATTAGACTGATGAGAAATGAGTTTTATGTAACTTCTAGAACTACTCAGTCGATCTCCTTTTGTGCAAAATTTAAAACATTAGAGTTCAACTGACGAGAAATCTAGCATTTGTTTCACATATTTTCGGCTACTTTCTGTAAGTTGATATTGATCATACATTTAAAGCCTTCTGTTGCTAGCATTGTTTTCGTTTTTAAAATAATTATTGAACATCTACATTTTAAGTCTTCTGTTGCTAGCATTATTTGAAATTTTAAACTAATTATTGAACCTGGGCAATAACATGTCAGGTTGCCGTATTCTATTTCCACGACGAGTTCACCTGGTTGAAAGGGGCTGGTCTTGTGACGATAATTGTTGGTGTCAGTTTATTTAACTGGTACAAGTAAGTAATCGTATTCTCTTGGGG